CAATCTGTGGGGCCCAGATAAAACCATCAGCTATGGTGGCTGTATAATCCAGCTATACATCTTCCTCTGGCTGGGTGCCACTGAGGGCATCCTATTGGTTGTGATGGCATTTGATCGCTTTGTAGCTGTCTGCCGGCCCCTACACTACATGACCATCATGAACCCTCGAGTTTGCTGGAAACTAGCTGCTACTGCCTGGCTAGCTGGCCTGGGAAATTCCCTAACTCAGTCAACATTCACTCTGCAGCTCCCATTTTGTGGACACCAGGCAGTGGATGGTTTCCTCTGTGAAGTACCAGCTCTAATCAAATTGGCCTGTGGTGACACAAGCCTCAATGAGGCTGTACTCAATGGTGTCTGTGCCTTCTTCACTGCAGTGCCCCTGAGCACCATCCTCATCTCCTATGGTTACATTGTCCGGGCTGTCTTGAAGATTCCCTCAGCTGAAGGCCGGCGTAAGGCCTTCAATACTTGTGGCTCCCATCTGATAGTAGTATTCCTCCTCTATGGCTCAGCTATTTATGCCTACCTCCTGCCAGCCAAGAGTAGTTCCCAAGACCAAGGCAAATTTATAACTTTGTTTTATTCAGTAGTCACGCCCATGGTGAATCCCTTAATCTACACCCTGAGGAACAAGGAGGTGAAGGGGGCACTCAGGAAATTGTTGGCAAAATGGAGGGAGAAATGGTGACAGAAGGGGAGAATGGGCCACCATATCTTTCCTGTTTTGTGTCTCTCTCTGTCTCTCTTCTCTCTCTCTCTGTCTCTCTGTCTCTGTCTCTGTCTCTCTCTATCTTTCACTCTCTTTCGTCTTTCTCTGTCTGTCTCTCTGAATCTCTCCCTCATCAGATCTACATTAGTATAAGTAAACCTGATTCCCATATAAGGTACCTTTGAGTAAGTTAAAAACCTTCCCAAGAACTCTAACAGTTAGGATCTTGTTAGTATTATTTGATAGTTTTCTACTTAATGATGAAAAACATGCAGTGGAGTACAGATTATAAGGCCAGAAGCTTTCAGGTCTCAGAAGGTATTGGTTTAATATAGCTCTAATTTCCATTACTCTGTCTCTGTCTCAACTTATAGTATTGTTGTTATTATTATTCACATCTCAAAGATACAACGTATATAAAAAGCTTTGCAAATCTTACATTGCTATACAAATGTTAACTATTACTATTATTATAATATAGAAGTTTTTTGGTTTTGTTTACTTTTCAAAGTACTTTCTATTCATTATCTTGCTTGATTTGGTTCAATAGTGAAAAAGATGATGATTTCATAGATGCCAATATTTCCAGATAGAGATCACCCTTCCCTGTATTTTAGTTGACAGTCTTCCTGAGGTACTGTAACTAAAAAAAAAAAAATCATCACCTAGTGGCCAGTCTTTAGGTCATGAACCTCTCTACAATTAATTAGACTGGTTTTGGGGATGTCAGACATACAGAGTGTCAGCAAACCTGCCCTTGAAGCCTTTCAAACTTGGGAGGATCTAGCTGCCTCAGTTTGTGTTCTGCTGTCACAGCCTTTGAGCACACAGGGTTATTTCCCTGCCACATGAGGTTTCGAGGAGGGATTTCATAGAGAACAAGGATAATTATTCCTATTGGTCAGGGTTAAAATATTTGTCTATATGTCTGAAATCATATCATCTTTATATCCATTTCTGTCTCTTCATCTGTCAATTTATCTATTTAGTTTTTCATTCATATATCTCTCTCTATCCTCTCTCTTCTCCCTTTCACTCCTGCATTGAATCTTTCCTTTAGCTTCATGTAATTTTTAATGTTAAATGAGGGAGAAAATTATTCACTCCTCCATTCCAAACAAAGCAATGTCTCTAATGGAACAGGGATCTTCTACATATTTGTTGATGTCATCCTACTTGAAAGTCATAGCCACCAAGTTTACCACTAGTCTTCATATCTTGATTGGGCTAGTGAGTCACACACCTATTGAGACTTCTACAAACAAGACAAAAGGCCATACATCAGGCTCAATGAAAAGGCAAGCAAAGGTATTTTTTTTAAGGTCTTGGGTTCATTCTCCTCTTCTCCAACATCTAGAGCTTTACTTCTGCAGATCCTGGAACTCAGAGATTAAGTTGGCATGTGCCGACTCCACTAAACAGGATGCTTTAATGGGAACCATACAATATGTATATGTTGTATATTTGCAGAAAATGAAAACCAATGTACTTTCTCCTCAGGCAGTCAACTCAAATCAGAATCAAAAGTTTTCTTCGTGGCTACAGAATCAGAGAAAAAGATTATCAATGGGCTTTTAGGGATATTTTTGTCAATTTTACTATTGAGTCTTGTGACTTCCCTCCTCAACACTAAAAGAACCATGTTTCCCAAGTAACCATTTTCATTTAGCTAATCAGAATCATCCTGTCCTTCAAATTGTGCTTGATGGATAGTAACATATTTCTCCCTCTTAAAACTCTCCCTTTTCTGTATGTCCACACTGGCCTCACTCCCCTATTTTCTTAACCAAATCTTTTGATCATAGATGTTAACATGGTTAGAAGGAAATTACAGAGGATCCTTTGCTGGCACCAGGTTCAAGACTCTGTTGCATTGGTTCTGTGTTGTAATCCCAGAGGAAGAAAGAACACTAGCACACTACAGCATGTGGATGCAGGGGAACACAGAACCTCTTCACAGTTCTAGGTAGGTAAAAGAGTGCTTGAGCTCAATCACAGACCAGAGAACAGGCCATGAGAGCAGAAACCACCCCTCTCCTTAAGTCATACCACTTTGAAAGTATCAAAAGCTTACAGGCCCCCAGAACTAGTTCTATAAATAGCAACATGAAAAACC